CGCCGGTACCGCGCGGCGTGGCACGTTACGGTGGGCGTAACGCTTAAGTGAAAACCAGTATTTTCGCTGCAGCGGTGCACATATTCAGCGAATGGTGACCGGGTTTGTGCGAGAACGTAGCAAATATTCAGTGTTATGGATGGCCCAACGCTAATCTATAACATTTACCGGCATCATAGGCAAAAGTCAAAAAAACACGTTTTGCGGCAATTCCGCCTGCCAACTAGGCAACCTGCCGTCTGCATGTGTGTACAGATATTGCCTAGTTGGCTCATGTTGCATGTTGCAGGCCACAACAGATTTCAGCCCCTGCTCCCGGTTCTGTTACCACTTCTACGCTCATTGGCTGATTGAAACAATGACGTCATCATCGACCAATCCTTCAGAACACTTACCTATGGGTTCATGCATTCACTGTCGTTCCCTGTTGTGTACTGTGAGGGGTGGTAACCGTACCACCGTGAAATAAAGGGTGGGGTAAGGGTACAGCATTGTCCTGCAACGCGCGAAGGCAGCCGTGCCACACTGTTCGTACCGGGTGTCCGTGCTCTTACATACCAGTCTAGAGGGTGGCATACGCGCTGGCTCGCAGGCGCCGTCGGAACGCGCAGGACTTAGCGCATCCCCGCGGAACTGCGAGCACCCCCCGCTGTAAGATTTCGCGCATGGTTCCACGGGGAGGCTCGCGGATCCGCGGGGATGCGCGAAATCCGAAATCCTGCGCCCTCCCGACAGCGCCTGCAGGCCAGCGCATATGCAACCCACCATACTGGCATGTAAGAGCCGGGATACCCGGTAGGTCGACTCTTACCAGGGCGGAAAAGAGGGTGAAACTTAAGGTGGTGTTATTGGGCGTAATAAATTCTATATTGAACTCCCTACTGATGCCGCGAGGCCCACTCGTTGCCAGCGCTCCACTCCCCTCTACCGCTTTGCGCCGGCTATCTGCGCCTGGTGCGTAGGCAACTCGACCATCACCCAACCGGCCTCCTAGTTGCTAGGCCGCATCAAACACTGCCTACAGCCCTGCAAAGTTTATCCTATGTGTGATAATGGACCATGTACAAAATACGTCACGTTGTGACATTTCACGGACGTGTGCTGTTAGGCAGATTTGATGACGTACACACAGCGGGTGTGGGTCTTTGGGTCTTGTGAGTTTGGTTCCGCCGGGGGTAGGCGGTGCTTCGAGTTTAGTACACATTGTTGGCAGTAGTGTTGTAGTGTTCGTAAGCTTGGGTAAAGTTAGGCTACGATAAGTTAGCGATTTATCGTGCCAATAGTTTATATTAGGCCTGTATTAGCCTAACTTAATCAAACCTAATCATAAATAACCTATAATAACACTAACTTAGCGTTACCTAACTCTGGGAGCCGGGTCGGTAGGCAATGCGCACTAAGGTTTTGTGTGTCCTCAATGTAAACTATTGGCACAATAAATCGCTAATTTATGTGACCTAACACAACCTAACGAACTCCTCCTTTCTGGCTACGTTCGTTAGGTTGGGTTATCTTAGGTTACGATGAGTTAGCGATTTCTCGTTCCTATAGTTTACATAAGGCCTATGTGAGCTTGACTTAATCAAACCTAACAGTACCGCCTATTCTCTAGATGCTGTAACACACCACGGTGAATGACAGCATAGGCAAGCCCACCCGTATGCGGTATAGTACAGGCAGATTACAGGACGGGATCTATGGGACTACCTGTATATTTTAATGTCACCCTCACTTTTCCATGCAGTCCCTTCGCTTGTCATG